AAAGGTTCATGAAGTTTGTATAAAAACATTAAAGCAATAAATACAGATATGAAAAATAATACAAAAAAAATAATTCGTTAGCCCCCCACTTTTTTTTGAGAAAATTTGTCAAAAAAAGTAGGCATCTTAGTTTACCCTCTTCAAAAGATTAATATGTAAAATTACCAAAACAGTCAATATTATTTATTTTCCCAAAGCGGATGTTTATAACATGTTTATTTGTAGTGGCTTGGGAAAACTTGGTCACCCTTGAAATAAACTAGTAGACTGTAGTTAGATATATTAGAGTAGACTAAGTAAGAAACTTCTATATATAGAAACAGTATATTTGGAACATATGATAGTAACATGTCTCGATTTTTATGAATCGCAAACAATACTTCAAGACTTCAATACTCTTCTAACTACTCTGTCTAGTTTTTTCTAGTTTAGCATAGAATATTTTTTTCCTTATAAAATAGGTTTTTTGATATAGATACATATATTATTAAAGTAGAGTTAGATACAGAGCTTTTTTATTCTATTAATATATAATTTTTTAAAGCCTAACACAGACTTATAATTGTGATCTGTCAGATTTTGTTTTTCTTTTTACACCCTTTTTCATCTCTGTATTTGTATTTTAGTTTAGTTTTTGTTATTTTTTACTCTCTTTTTAATTATTTAAAATAAAATATTAGTCAATAATTTTTTTTTTAAATAACAGATTATTATTGACTATGATATTAATCTAACCTTTAATTTGTTTCTAACCAAAAATTTGATCTTTTTTCTTAGTTTCTTCACTAAACTCTGAACCATTTAGCAAATAAGTAAATAAAAAATCTACATAAACAATTTTTTTTCCTTTTATTTTTAAAAGCTTTGCTTGAAAAGCTTGAATAAGAGTTTTGAGCTCTAATAATATAAATGTTTTTTCAAATGCATTCTTAGCTTCATCACTGTGAACCCAAATTCTGAGTTGATCAAGTACAAAATTAAGGTCTTTGAGTAACATCTTTTTCTTGAAGTTGGAAAACTTTACTTTCGAATTATTTTTTTTGTATTATTTTTCATATCTGTATTTATTGCTTTAATGTTTTTATACAAACTTCATGAACCTTT